AAACAGTGGTTTGGGTTCTTATGGCAGTTGTTACAATTAGGAACACCAGTATGGGAGAGAACAGACATGTAATATGTTATGAAGGCTAACTCAGAGCAAAAAAATTTATTCTACAATAGAACATTGGAGGAGTAAATGCAATTAAAGTGTAAACAAGAAATTGTAAACAAGAAATAGCATCCCTCTCTTTGACTAAATAGTCTATACAAACTACATAGATATCAAAGGTTTTATATATGTACACAGCCAACATAATATCAAAATATATTTTATTCTGGACCTCTTTCAGATCTGATTCAAATTACAGTTGTCAAAGCAATACAATGCAAAGGGAAACTGCAACAACAACAACAACAAAAAATGTGCCTAGAAAGGATAAAGGATCATTGGGGACAAATCATTGTGATGTGGAACCAAAATACATCGTAAGTGTAACTAACATGGTCCAGGACAGCATAGAACATCTATAATCAGTCTTCCTTACACAATAATCATGAAAACTGAACAATAAAGTTCTTCAACATGTACAAAAAACTGTCATGGGCTGGTTTACACTTTTACAACAGTTTTAAAGTTAACTGGATAACTAAAGAAATGATGCAGACATTTTAATCCAGTGCTATAGGTAGGCTCACAGAATTAGACCCAAAGGATTTGTAAAAATCAAAATGAGAACATTACAACTACAATGTCAAAGTCAGGAAAGAAGAAAATCACTTCTGTATTTAGGGATTACAGAGCTACAAAATGCAGTCTGTGTTTTTGTTTTTAATGAGATGGATAAGTACATCAGACTAGATATAACATGCAGAATGTTTTTTTGAACTTATCCAAAAATCCAAAGAAAACATCATGAAACAGCTTACTAGAAAGGAAAAAAAGAAAAGAAAAAGAAAAAAGCCTGTTATTCACCCTGCTTCAACACTGTCAACATAAAGGCAGAAATAAAGAATGCTACTAATACTTCAGAACTACTGATATAAGACATCAAATTTCTAAATCAGTGTATTTTAAAAAGTGAACGCTTCCTGTTTTCTCTCTCTCCTCTACATTAACTAGAATCATGTTAAAATAAAACAGATATTGAATGTGACACTTCAGAGCTACTACTGGAAGGAGTAATAATTCATAACTTCCCTACCCTCCTTCCATCCCTGCTGATTCAGAAGGGAAAAAACCAAATAAACCCACAAACCAACCAGGGTCTCTTGTAGATTTGCTGCTATTCCCCAAAATGTTGGCATTTGCTGCCATGCCACAATGTTGGTCCACTGAGTAGGATTCTGTGGAAACTGTCAACAGTAACTCACCAAATGCAAGTACCATCCTTAGCATGTGAGAATAAATGCAGGTTCTATCCAAGTGGACAAATGCACTTAGGAAAATGAAAACTGTTTTTGAGAAGATAAACAGCACTACATTTGAAATTTATTTTTCCTGTTCACATAAGGATGATCATTTGTGATTCCTTTAAATAGCAAAAATGCATACTCCTCTTCAGGCCTCTATTCAATAGTTTACATTACTCTTAACAAAATCATTCTACATAAACAGCTCCTTAAAAATAGTACTCTCTCATTAAATCTAATTTGACAGAAAGAAGTTTAAGGAAAAAGGAGTGCTTTATAAGTGAAAATGTACAAATCTTTGGCCTTTCTCTTGACATTTTTATATGTCAAAAAAGCAAACAAAAAACAAAAAAAAACCACCCTTCATGTAATTCAATCTTATGATTACTTTTGCACCATATTTGTTTTTTACATCACAAAAGGAGGCACTTTCAGTATCTATAAAAGGGGTTTAAATCCTAAAACATACTTAGAGAATAATTAAAACAGAATTCAATACACTCTAAGACCTAGCAGGAAATTAAATTACCACTTCTAAAAGCCATTTGGACATCAATGATGGTACCTGATCAACAACAGGAAATGGGGATTGGATCAAATATAAGAGCTTAGGGAATTTCCTACATGGAGAAGAAGTAAAATCCCTTATGATGTTTAGGAGTCACAGCTGTTCTTTATTCTATTTTAATCAGTGAATATTCTATTCATTCAAGTTTTCCTTTCTATTTTTCCTTATGATTAGCTTCTTAACAGTAGCCTAAACAAAAATGATATATAATGAATACCACAGAAAATCTACTGGAGTCAGTTGAACTTCAGGAATAAGTTGTTGGAAAAAAATGAGCAAGAACTTCAAATATAAAATTTTACTTGCTGTGAAACTTGGTCTCTTACAAACATGTTACTGCTCAAATTAGAGGCAATCTGCTTTTTATCTACTGGAGCAGCATCGTGGCACATCAGCAGGCAATGATGATGTTGAGAACAGCAGCAAAAATAAACAATTGTATGCTCACAAAGAACCCAAGCCTACAAAATGGATACCTTCCAGATAAAGTTTACACTTAAAAGACCCAAGACATCAGGATAATAAAGCTCTGTATTTATAATCTTTCATATGTCCTATTGTGGCTATTATGCTTAAGTAAAACAGCTAAAAAAAATAAAAATAAAAACAGAAAAGATAATACCATAAAAATGTAGCTATTTGGCAGCTATACTGCAGAACTACTTGACCATCTTTTAATCAGCTGGGGGAGAAGTCAATAACTGTATGCAAATGAATAAATTGTCAATATCAAAATACAAAAGTACTATCAATAATCACCTCTGACTTTCAGATTTAAATTCAGTGCAATTGACAAATGCATCGCTAAAGGAAAATGCAGCTTAAACATATGCAAAACATTTGTGTCTATTCCTGGGAGCACATTAAAAATTATTGCACAGATTTTTTTTATTTTTATTTATTTTTTTAAAACAACAACAGAGGTTAACCACAGATGTGGACCTCCAGCAATAAAAGCAGGATTTCAAGTGCCAGATACTCAGCATATTAGGTTTCCTACATAAGTCACAGGGTAATAGTTCTAAGTATCTATAATGTGATCCAAACCCTAAAAACAGCTGGCACAAAACCATCATAAATGACTGCCTCTCTGGATGTAAATTTTTAAAAATATTATTACAGTATCATAGTCCCCACTAACAACAACTGGGGTACATATAACAATGTATTATGGAATTAAGTGTATTTATTTTCTTTAACAATAGCAAATGCTATCCTACCTTAGTAAAACCAAGACTTGCTTCAATCAATGCTCTTATGTAAAAATAGCGAAACAACAAATGCTGAAAATCAAAGCTGCATTACTTAGGCTAAATCACTTTGTACTTAAAACATAGGTTAAAAATTTAGTAGCAAAGGCCTCAAATAATTAGTAATAGGAATAGTGTTATAAATTTGCTAAGCCAATTCTTTAATTAAAATCTTTGAGAGATAAATTTGACAACTGTTCTGTTCAAAACTGACAGTTCTGGCTTCTCACCTTAACCACGACAAACTTGTTAATCACACATATGAATACAGTCCCATGCTATCATTGGTCAATTCTCTAAATTTTCACTTTTAGTTGCATGAGCATAAGAGGAGGTTTGATCTGATACCTGATACCTACATCCTTAAGAAAATACTTGATATTATAAACATAATAAAAGACATGATATAGTAGTGATTACTGAAAAAAAAAAAATAGCAGCTTAAATCTATCTATTTGGGGGGGTGGGGGGTGGGGGGTGGGAATGTAGTCACAAGTACCACAAATGCAGAATCAGAGCAGCAGGGAAGTTAGTGCAATTATACATTTAAAAAAGAAAATAGGAATCACTGCTATTTAAAAACACCTTGAAGCAAGTCTTGTTTTAAAGATTGTTTTTAAACTAAGATAGCTAACATTTTGCCACGTAATGGCAGTGTTATATGCCGTTATCTTGCTTTGTATAAAGAAAAGTAACATGAGAGATTTTTAATACTGGAGTTTGGTTATATTACATATTTAAGCTTCTACACAGAATGATGGACACTTTTGAGAAGCTAATCCTTATCCAGAAACATTTTAATCTCTTAAAAAACAAAGCAAAACAAACAAATAAACAAACAAAAACCCCAAACCTACTTTGCTCCTTTTATAATAGTGCACATTTTACCATAATTTAGTTATGGCTACAAAACTTCAGAAGACTTTTTTTTTTTTTTTTTTGCATCTTCTCTATGGTATTTTTTGTTTTTTAATTTGTGCCCTCCTAGTTTTTAATTGGCAGAAATATGTCCCAAAATAGAAACTACTTCATTTAAGCCACATCACAAAATAAAACAAAACAAAATAAAACAAACAAACAAAAAAAGAACAGAGCATAATACCCTTTTACTGATGTGTCTTACAGATTGACGTGACCAAAGTCATATATTTTCATTAATTTCCAATTTCCCCTTCCACAACATGCACCAATTGAATATATGCTCTGGGAGCCATAAAAGGTACCAAACATTATCTTTTCAAAAGAATGCATTAAAATATTTTTTAATAATTTTTGTAAATTGTGGGAAAAAAAAATATAAACAAGAAACTGATTCACTCCCTTACTTCATGCATCCATAAACTAAACCAAAAACAAAGGTTTAAAAGCAAGAACAAACTACTGCTGCAAGTTTTTGTAAGTCCATTTTCTCTGTACATACAAACTGCTCAACTATTGAAGGAAAGAAAAGAATATAATCCATGGTGTCTGCTGATTCAAAGGGAATAAACAAGGCTGTTATTAGTATCCAAAAACTGGTACATGTATGGTCTGCTTTTATAATGCATATTTCTTTCTTCTGTTTTTCATATCCAAAACTTCTAAATGCTATTTTAGGGGCACAGCAGATTAGATTCCAGCACTTGGTGAACAGAATTCACAAGCTGTGACAAAATTCTGTCATCTTCAGGGTGCAATTTGTGTGTATATACACTGTATGTATATATTTCCTTTAGATTTGGCTGTAGTGGACTGGCCATGGTTCAAGTGGGACGATAGCAGTACATGGGTCAGGGACAGTCATTTTGGCTATGTACACATTCATAGTCGGTCCATGGCTTCCAACTAGTAGCGCTATTTCCGAAGGTCTAATACACAAACCTGTAAAAAATTAAAATAGTCAACCAGTGTGTTAAGAATTTCATAATACAATTGTAACTTAACTTTTCTATAGTACAGTTTGGAATCTATTTCTTGATTCCAAGTTCACAAAGCTGCTTAAGTAATAATAATCATGGCAATGGGCACTTAACAGAACTTAGATACATCATCTAATTAGGCGGGAGGAAACGACGGGCTAACACTACAGAGGCAGAACCACGGCTAACATTTTGAAGATTTACTCTCTGCTAACTAAGAAGTAAAAAAATGCTCAAAATAACCCTAGCCAGTTTGGCTCAGTGGATAGAGCATCTGCCTGCAGACTGAAGGGTTCCAGGTTCGATTTCAGTCAAAGGGACATGCCCGGGTTACAGGCTCAATCCCCAGAAGGCAGCCCATTCTTACTGATGTTTCTATCTCTCTGTCCCTCTCCCTACGCCTCTCTGAAATCAATAAAAATAAATAAATAAATGAAAGGAGTTTTTAAAAAATGCTCAAAATAAACCATTTCCTATATTTGGGATCTTAACAAAACATACTACAGATTATATTAAACTACAGCTTCAGTAAATAAATAAATAAAAATGGCTGTACCCTATCCATCATCCCTTTGCTTTCAGAGCTTCAGAAGTCATAACTTATATTTCTGTAAAGAGCTGACCAACCTCACCCTGAAAAGTCTCTCAGTATCACATATTCCTCAAATGCAGAACTCAACTCCTTTATTCCCCTTTCCCTGGCCACCAACACTCTTCTGAAGAGAAGAGAAAGTAGAAATAGGCAATTAAAATTCAAATCTCTCATAGTGGTATCCTACTATTCCTAATTTCACTAAGGAAGCTTGATTTTAAAAATAACTGTCAATTTCTTGATTATGAACACTCTCTTTTGGCAAAGGTAGCACAAAGTTTGTTTCCTTTTTTTTTTTTTATGAAACAAACATGAAAAATATACAGCTTTCAATAAAAAAGATCAATACCATATCATAAAATTTATTTTGAAGAGAACACTAAGCCACATGTATTCACTATGTTTACACCCACACACCCGCTGGAAATACTGTATTATACTTACTGAACCATCTGATGCACTGGCTCCAACTTTATCTCCTGCTGCATTCCAGCAAACTTCAAAAATTCCACCTGTTCCCCTGTAGCTGTGAACTAGAGCACCCGTCTAAAAATATGAAAAACAAAATTTTATAAATACTAACATATTGATATAAAAATTTTATAAGGCTTTATTTCTAGCAATCAAAGATAGGATTTACCATAGATTAAACTCCGAAGTAAATACAAGCTCTAAAATACTAGAAGAGTGATTTGAGGATCCTTTCATAAAAAGAGAACACTAATCTGTTCTCAACAGATCATTCACAGTCAGATTCTCCAGAAATGATAACTATTCTTAGCTAAGGCACCTTTGGCCTGACACAATTAACAATGGTTAGAAGTGAACATCCAATGTATGACTTAAACTTTTGATGTTACCAAAAGCTGCATGAGTTTGGCCAACTTGTAAAGACAATTATAGTGTGAGTCTGTTAGGTATTCCATATTAAGTAAAATTTCTTAATAGAATAGACCCCCTAAGCTACAGGTATTAAGAAAGAAGCTAAAAAATATATACGTGCATAATTCTCAAATTCTTAAAAAGAATAACTAGGAACACTAATAATTTCATTATCAATTTAGCCGAATCAAAAGTATAATTAAATTTTATTTCTTCAGCAAGAGGAACAATAATCGTTCAGCTGCCACTGATTAATTAAAACACAAAAAATGTACTGTCTTAAGAAACCAGTCATTAAATAGGGCAAAGGCCAGGGGTTCTGCTGGGAGAAAATGGACAATGAAAAGTGGTGTTCTGCCCTGACAAACAGGATGGCATCTCTCAGCTTTAAAGCAGCCTAACAGGCCAAACGAGAGTTCCTAAAAAGAACACGTTAGCAGTCATGTACCTTGTAAATACCTCCCAGCTAGCTAACCCGAGTATATCACTAGAAAGTCTGTTTTCCTTGCTTTCCTCTTCAGTGTGTCTGAAAATACTTCAGAAACCACAGATGCACTGTCAAGGCTGATCACACTGGTAAGGCTCTACTGCTTTCTAATTTTTCTTTTCCTATCTAAAATTTCTAACAATTTAAGAGATTAATTAACAAGTATGAATACAGGTCTTGAATATCTAGTAATTTAGAAGAGAAAGAAGTGGTACCAACAAAATCTAAAATCTGCTGATATATAAAAAGTAAAATCTATAGGATAGTCAACTTTGGGGTTAAGAAAACAAAAACTTTCTTTTAAAAGCATTGACCAATTTCTAAGCTTGAATTAAACTATAATTGAACCAAAATAGCATGGTCAAAAGCCAGAGCTATGACATTAACAAAGGTCAATGGATCATTAGCATCTACTCAAATCTATATGTAATTCAGACCAGATTTCAACAATTTACCTGTCAAATGTTTAGGTAACATATCACCCAAGTAATGAAAGAAAAGAACTACATGCATATATGATAAAAGGATAATGACTGTCTCCTACATTAAGAACTCATTAGATGCACTTTACTATTTTCAAACTTAAAAAAAAAAGTAAAATGACATTTTTGGTACATAACAGTGATACAAAAAAATAGCACAAATAGCTGCTCAAAATGCCCTTAAAAACCAATCAATATCTGCCATTAGAACTCTCAAGTCCTTTTTCCAAATTTCATGGAAATTGATTTTCTCACACTGGAGTAAATGAGTGATTGAAAAGGTATACAACAGACAAATTATTCATATATTGTATGTAAAAAGCCTTTGCTATTCGGCCACAACAGAAAGAGTAATGTGAAAGGAAAACCAAGGGGAAATGAACTAGTAGACAGAGAGCACAGCAATGTGCCAAAATCCATATTGTTCCAACACGAGCAACAACCAGTAAATAAAAGAAATCTATTTTTTTAAAGATGATATTTGTGGTTAACAATAAAATCAATAAAACACCTCAGAATAAATTTAGAAAAAGAAAAGTCTTTATAAAGAAATTATAAAACCTCACTGAAGGGAAAAAAATATGTAATTAGAGGGACTTAAAAAATTATAGTTATTAAAGCTATGTTAATGATACAGGAATATACAAGAGCATTTATGAATAAATCACACAAGAACTTCATATATGGAAGAAGTGGTATTATGAAACATTAAGGGACAATAAATTGTACTGACATAATTGGTTATCCATCTTATAAGAAAAAATTAGACCTCTAGCTCACACCATATATAAAAAACAAAATTCCAAAGGAGTTAAAAATATAAATGTAACAACAAAATAGAGAAAGTATAAAATGAAAGAATCATATTGCTTTTACATGCACGCACGCACACACACACCCCTCGAGACGACAACAAAAACTAGTAAAATCAGTTGACTGTAAAGACAAAAATGGGAGGCAAAAGTTCTCAGTGTATACCTTTCACAATGTTTTAGTTTTAGGGATGAAGACCACCTGGATGAGTAACTTAATCAAAAATAATACTTGAGCTGAAGCCGGTTTGGCTCAGTGGTAGAGCGTCGGCCTGAGGACTGAAAGGTCCCAGGTTTCATTCCGGTCAAGGGCATGTACATTGGTTGCGGGTGCATCCCCAGTAGGAGGTGTGCAAGAGGCAGCTGGTCGATGATTCTCTCTCATCGATGTTTCTAGCTCTCTATCTCTCGCTCTCTTCCTCTCTGTAAAAAAAATCAATAAAATATATTTTTTAAAAAATAATAATAATACTTGAGCCATGGATGGGTGGCTATTAGTTGGAGCATCGTCCATATACCAAAAGATTACAGTTTGATGCACTGTTGGGGCATGTATGGAAAGCAACCAATCAATGTTTCTCTCTCTCACTTCTAAAAATCAATAAAAAATATAGCCTCTGGTAAGGAAAACAAAAATAAAACACTTGAAAATGATGATTTAAGCAAAATAGTCTGACCAGAAGCAATGGAGAGTTAATATAAAGAGAAACAGACCACAATAACTTACTGTGGCTATACTACAACCAGTGAAGTGCTGGATCATGGGAGTCAAGTGACTGCTATGAAAGAAACTGTATGGCCCTGGCTAGGTAACTCAGTTGGTTAGTGGTCATTCCAATACGTCAAGGTTGAGGGTTTGATCCTCAGGGCACATACAAGCAGCAATCAATGAATGCATAAATAGTGGAACAACAAATGATGTCTCTCTCTCATCAATTAAAAAAAAAAAAGATAACAGAAAAAAAGAAACAGTATATGTAGAATAAAAACTAAAATGCTGAAAAGATTAAAAAAAATAAAAAAGAAAAGCAACAAACAGGTTATTTTCTCCACTTTTAGAAAAGACACTCTATAGCACTGTCCCTAAATGGTGGTAAAGGTTTAAGTTTGTTACATTGTGTTCAGTCATAAAATCGTGTCCTTTAGGACATTTTCACTGCTCTTATCGATTTTTTCAAAGACAATCTTTTTAGAAAAACAAAACAAAAACAACTATATTATTTAATAAATGCACCTTAAACTCTCACATTTTAGGTCTACTAAAGTAATGGAAAAAATAAAATGGAAGAATCTAAAGTTGTTTCTAAAATCTGATCATATCATGAAAATATAACTTCAGTTGGTTTTCATTTTTAATTAGCTGTAATTTCTTTTTTAAGTATTCATTTAAAAACAAGAACTAAATTCAGGGCACAAAAGGAATGACGACCAAAAAGGAAATTATATATACAGGCTAATGCTTCTTACTGATTATGAGAGTACTTGACTATTCTTATACAGACATACAGACATACCTGTGTATTCCAGATGTGCACACATTTGTCAAAAGAACCACTTGCCAGATACCTGCCATCAGGACTGAAAGCTACACTGTACACAGGCTCTTGGTGTTTTGTCAAGGTATGGATGCAAATTCCTCGGTCTACATCCCATAATCTAACAGTAGAGTCAAAAGATGCACTGACGGGGAGGAAAAAATGTTGTTTTATAAGTAAGAAATACTCTCAGCCCACCCCCAATATACAATATTCATCCATTCCTAACAGCCAGCACAAATTCCTCATGAGAAGCAGACTGGACTGTTAGAAAGTGTTCGGGAAACCAATCTATAATAAGAAAAGGCAGCTTCAGGGCATCCCCAGGTCCCTGAATTGCGGCATATAAATGAACTAACTCACTGTATTCCTTTGCTCTTTAAATAATTCCTTTATATTAATCCAGGGTTTTGAACACTGTATTGACTATATTTTTAACTTTATAAATTCTTTTAAATGCTGAAGAAATTTTATTGAACTGTGCCTCAACTACTTGGATAACAATCACCAGCAAATATTTGATATCTCCAGACAAAAAAATCCATTATGACTTGAAATAAAATAAAACTCCGTTTAAAAGTTCCTATTTAAATATATATACATATATTCTTTGGAGGATACATTCCCACTTCATGGAATCTTCCCCTAATTTTCTGTCATATTTATTAAAGTTGCATTTGTAGAAGACTCATAAAAGGAAGAGTAAGACATAAATATTACCTTGCTAACATAAGGTTGGCATTTGGATTATTTGTCCCTGGTCCTGTTGGACTCCACTTGATAGTATAAATTTCTTTATTATGTGCTTGCAAATCATGGACACAATTGTCTTGTTTCATACTCCATATCTGAGCAAAAAAGAAATATGTATGAAATTACTTTTCCATACAAAAGGTACATTTAAAACACTACCTTGACAATTCAAAATGTAAGTGCTATAACCAAGACAATGTTTATAGAAATCAGGGATTATTTGGAAATAAACTAAAATGTAGAATATATTTTCCATTTTCTCTTTTAAAAATGACAATTCTTTCCAAATATTCTCTATTGTGAGGCTTCAGGACTGAATTAACAGTAGTTCTAAGATTACTTCTGATAGCTGCAGATGGTATCTACACTAATAAAAGAGAAACATGCAAATTGACCCTATCTCTACTACACCCACAAGCCAATCAGGAGCGATTATGCAATTTAATTCAACCAGGGGCCATGGAGAAAGCAGGAGGCTTGGGTTTCCCCAGCAATGGAGGAAGCCAACCCTCTCACAGTCCTGGCCTGCCCTGGCTGGTGTTCAAGGCTACAAAGTTTCAATTATAGAAGATAAATAAATTCCAGATACCAGGGCCTCCCCTTGGGTTGCTGAGGGGCATGGCTAGCCTGCAAACCATCACAGGCCCCTCACCAAGGCCACCCCATGTCCCAAGGGAACCCCCACTCTGATCCAGGGCACCCTTCAGGGCAAACCAGCTGGCTCCCATCTGTGCACCAGGCCTCTATCCTATCTAATAAAAGAATATTATGCAAATAGACTATCACTCCAACACACAAGATGGCTGTGCCATATGGACACAAGATGGCTGCCACAAGATGGCTAGTAGGGGAGGATAGTTAGGAGGGACCAGGCCTGCAAGAGAGGGTATTTGGGGGCAATCAAGCCTGCAGGGGAGGGCAGTTAGGGGCAATCAGGCTGACAGAGGAGCAGTTAGGCATCAATCAGGCTGACAGGGGAATAGTTAGGGAATGATCAGGCTGGCAGGAAGAAGCAGTTAGGGGCAATCAGGAAGGCAGGCAGGCAAGCAGTTGGGAGGCAGCAGTTCTGGATTGTGAAAGGGATATCCCATATTGGAGAGTGCAGGCTCAGCTGGGAGACAATCCCCATGCTTGAATTTCGTGCACTGGGCCTCTAGTCCTATATAATAAAAGGGTAATATGCAAACAGAATGGCAGAACAACCGAACAACCAACGGAAGTGTAATATGCTCATGATCTGCTAAGGCTGCTCAACTGCTCACTATCACATGCATGACCACCAGGGGGCAGATAGTCAACTGATCAAACAGTCGCTATGATGTGCACTGACCACCAGGGGGTAGATGCTCAGACTGGTAGGTTAGCTTGCTGCTGGGGTCTGGCAATTGAGACTGAGTGAGATGGGCTGAACATGCCCTGGCGCCTTCCCTTCCTTGTTCTCTCCCTGGCCCGACCATGCACTGGTGGGGTCCCTCAGCATGGCCCACACCCTCTAGCAATCCAGGACCCCTTGGGGATGTTGGAGAGCTGGTTTCAGCCCGATCCCTCAGGCGGGTGCCAGACGCAGGGCTCATGGCTGGTGAGCGCTGCTGTGGCAGCACAAGCCTCTCCAAATTGGAATTGATTGGGTGCAAGCCTGTGGCAGGCACAATGGGGCCGGGATGAGCAGGAGCGGCAGGTATGAGCTACAGGCAGTGTTGGTTTTAACCCAATCCCTGCAGGCTACCCAGAGGGACCCCCCCACCCATGCACAAATTTGTGCACTGGGCCTCTAGGAACTCAATAAACTCCTTAGGTTTGTTTCTAAAATGTTTAAGATATTAGTTTTTATGCTGTCCATTAAATAAAAGATTAACATTATAAATTGCTCTTAGAATTTAAAATCAGAAAACATTTTACAACAGATAAAATAGATAAGTGACTTACAAATAAAATATGATTCATGTATGACACCAGAGTATAGACAACAAAAGAAAAAAGAAACCGAGACTACATAAAATTAAAAAGCTTCCACAGAGCAAAGAAAACAATCAGTAAAGTAAAATAAAAAGGCAATCCTACAAAATGGAGAAAAAAACTTACCCAATATAGGGTTAATTTCCACAAACATATAAAGAACCCCTTCAACTCAACAGCAAAAATACTTATACTGATAGAAAAACATTTTTACTAGCACTGTTTGCAAGGAAGCCCAGGCTTGAGGAGGGAAAAAAAATCAAACTAAAAACAGCAAGTATTTAAGGAAAATCCTCCTAGGTCACCAAGGTTACATTTAGTCTGTTCCTGGGAGAAGGAGGAGCAGTTTTCCCTAATGAGCATGATAGCTATAAAGGTCACTATGTCTGCATGTGACCTTTTCAGTAATTAGTATATTGTAGAAAAGGCTTCATTAATTTTGGAGATTAATATTAGGTTGTTCTTTATATCAAAATGTGGTTGTTTTTTTTCTCTTACTGAGGTTATGTGATATGCATAGGTCTTAGTTCTGCTTTTAGTTACACAACAAGAAAAATGTAAATTCACGCTGAAATGTGAATACTGGCATGTCATCTAGGCTTACTCACCTATTAAGTGATTCTCTGCAATCTACCAGTTTCCAGGCAAGGGTGACATACATTACTACCATAGCAAAATTAATCATTTTCAGACTTCAATCAAATTCATGAATGCTAAAGAGATCTTAGTTTCTTATTAGTCAAATCTTTACATGTGCAAATACATTTATTGCACAAATATGTGACTTTCTAATAGTGAAGACAATTTATAACAGCACATATCCAAGTACTGTAATTCTCATCATGCAGCCATCCTTTTAAAATGGAATTTATTTGCTCCATTCAAACATTTGAAATACTTCATAAGAGAAAATATAAAGAACAAGGTTTAAACACTCAATGAACTATGAGACATTCTACAGTGTTCAAATGGCCTGCACAGTGACACTGTATGACATCTCTACCCCATTTCTCCCCGCTATCCAAATTACCTTCAAAGTCATGTCATCAGAACAAGAGGCCAGGAGATTGCCAGTTGGGTCCCATTTGATAGCATTTACTTCATTCTAAAAATAACAGTAAATATTTACATTTTCATTTTATACATCAGGTTGCTCTTTGGTCATTAAATATACATAATTCAAACCCATTCTGAAACATTACTTATTCACCAAAATCACTTCAAAGAGGGGAAAACCAGTTTCTCACCGTGTGTCCCTGGAATGTTTTAATAGGTCTGTCTTGTCCTAATTTGCAGACGTGAATGCACATATCTGTACTACAAGAGGCAAAGGTGTTGTTGCTCTGCCAGTCAACATCCAATGCTGGTGCTGAAAAGAAAAAGGCCAGGTTAGCAGCATTCGTTCCACAGGTACTGCTACCTCAGCTCAGAGCCTTCACTTTAAACCATGGTTGGGCATTAAGCATTCTAATGGAAATGTAAAATTCTACTTTATACTTTTAAAAATTGAATTTTAAAAAATTATATCTAAATATAAAAAATATTAACACATGTCAGGTTAGTTGCCTCCATGTCAGACACAGGCTAATAAGGAAGTACACTGGCCTGGTAACCAGGATGTCAGTGTTCCTGAGGGCATACTCTGAATTACTAGCACTGGGTTTCTCATTTGTAAATGATGCTATACTTCTTATTCCTAAAAGTCTGTGTTGGCCTGGAGCAGCAGCAGCCAGGCTCAGAGCAGCATCAGCTAGGCCCGGAGCAGCCAGGCCCAGAGCAGCATCCAGGTCCGAAGCAGCCAGGCCCGGAATGTTGTGGGGTCGAACCCTGGGTTCAAAATGAAAGGAAAGAAAGAGCAATGCAGCCAATTCGGGTACCAGAGTGTTATGTCCGTCATCACAATGGACTCAGAGAAGCTCCTGTGTCCCTTCACCCAAAAAGACTGAGAGTTGCCCAGACGACAGCAAAGTGGGAGAAGAAAACTGAAGGCTACGCAAAGGACTGAGGTGCCAACATGGAGTCATCTGAAGAAATTAAAGACTGAAGTGGAAGCTACTTCTTTAATCATGTTCCTGCTTATGCTATCATCTGTTAGCTTCCAGTCTTCTGCAAAGTCTTGTGCAGCAAATCCAAGGACTTTGAGTAAATCTACACCAGCAACAAAAGAGATTCATTTAGTAGCTAAAAAGTCCATAATTCTGATTTCTCATTTTGTTGTTTTGCATTGGCATTGTTGTTATTATTTAATAGCCAGAGTTTTGCTCTTGATATTCAAGTTTTGAAAATAACATGCATGTGTTCAATGAACAAGAATCCTTGGTTCTGCCACTCCCTAACTAGTAGTGGGCTCTCAGTAAGCCACTTAACCTGTCATGGTATTTTCTTCATCTAAACAAATGGAAATAAAACCTTTAAGCTGAGTACACAAGGATATTGTGAAAATCAAGTGAGAGGTATTTATGGAAAGTACTTTGTAAATTACAAGCTAGGCAAATGTTACACTGAATAAGTAGCATTCTCAGCATCTCAACTAATAAATGTAATATTATATAAGATTCACAAGTATATTTTATTCTAAGAGATTCCTATCAATTAACTCTTAAAATCACCTCTTAAAATCTATGTCACTGAATTTCAAACCTCTGAAGCCCAAAAGCTGTCTGCATTTATTACTTATTTTAGCTCTACTATGATTAAAGATTCTTCCTTTCATTGTCCCCTGCTAAAAGGTGCAAATATTCTATAATTAGCAATGCAGATTAAGGTAATGATAGCAAGTAATCGGGTTAAGCAATAGGAGCATACCAAAAACAATGGATTTAGAGCAGGGATAGACATACTATGACCCATTAGCCAAGAACAGTTTCTATATTTCAATTGGCTGGGGAGAGAGAAAAAAATCAGAAGACTATACCTGATCAAAAGAAGATCTAGAAATGTGAGAATTTATATGCAATTCAAATTCATATATAAAGCTTTATGAAAATCCAGCCAAGCTCATTTGGTTACATATGGCTTCTTTTATATTGCAAGGGTAAACTTAACTGCAACAGAGATTCTACAGCTTACAAATCCTAAGTTATTGTCCAAACCTTTACAGAACAAGTTTACCATTTAGAGGAAACAGAAAAGGTCAAATTTAAGCTGTGTATCCTCATTATTAGATATAAAAGATTTAATAAAGGTGTCTATGGGAAGGGAAAAAGAAAGCCACTCTGTGTATATATAATTTTAATAGTAATAGGCAATATTGAAACTAAACATATTATAAATGGGTGTTTTGAGCACTTAGATTGATAAGCCAAAAAGTACCTCATTATGTATGAGGGCTTGCAACTATGGAAAGGAGAAGAACAAGAAGAACCAGAAGAAGGAATTAAAGCATTTACAACTCAAATAAACATTTACTCAGAATTTTGGGAACTATATATAGCAATACATTTAAAAAAAGACAAAGGACAACAGTGAAACCTAATTTCACTGGCTAGAGACTAATCAGGTAAAACACTAAAATCTAGACTGCAACTCAAGGAAGCTAACAGTAGTAACATGGCCAGAAACTACTGAAGAACTAGCTTTGTGTATATTTCCACAATGAAAAACCAGGGATCAGGAACCTACCTGGACTGAGTCAGTAAAGGAAAGTAATACAAAATGGAAAAATAACTTACTATGAAGCTTACTCTACAGAAGGTATAAAATATTAAATCCTCTCCCCAAGCAACCTTATGAAAACTACAGTGGTATATAAAAATATTAACATAAATTCACTTACAAAAATTTCAAATCTTAAGAATTCCCACCAAATTAAAAAAAAAAAAATGAACAAGAAACAATTTTGGACTGGGCAAGAGGTGTGAATAGCAGTATGGCAATGACTGCTACTGTCATAAGACAACTGCTCGGGATGGCCAGGTCTCCTCCCTCCCTCGCAAAACCGTCTCACCAGTCCCCAGCTTCTGAGTGCCTGGGTGCTAAGGGCTCCTTTCAGGGGCAAACTTCTTCAGAGAAGCAAACTTCTTCTGAGAATCACCCTGCTCTGTTGTTTCTACTTATGCAAAATGTGGCTAGTATCCAATAGCTGGTGGTATGTAGTTACAGGGTAAAAGGGTATGTTAAAAAAAAACCTAGCACCCTTGACTCAAATGAGAGAAATTCTGAGGTGTAAACACACCTCCCAGAACAGAGTCTGATGGGGCTGAACACGGGCTGTTTCACCAGAAACCCTCCCTTCCCGGGTCCTTGCGCTCTTTCCCATCCTGCTTCCCACACTCCTCCACTTGTTTCTCCTGGAAGGCTTCCTTAATAAATCACTTCACTCAAATGCTTGGCTTCAGGTCTGCTTCTGAGAGAATCCAACTTAAATCAGCCAGGAAATAAAACTACAGGCCAACTTTGATTGGCACTGTGTATGAACTCTGCTGCCGTCTGTGCATCACGATTCTGAGTAATACAGAGGACTATTGGCATGTCACCGGCTCTTAGGCCCACTCCTTTCCACTCTGCTCTCCTGTGCTCCGCACCTTGGGGCTGACTTCTACAATCACATAGTACAGCACCCTGTGCCTACAGAGTTCCCACAGTGGAAGACACCGTCATGAGTCCGAAGTCAGCAGAAACAAAGACAGCAATTTGTTCCCATTTCTTTCAGACTTGGCAACTAACTGCTGGGATTACTCCATGTTGCCTGTTCCTGCCAGGCAGCCGCTCCGCTTCACACCGGGCATTTGGCTCCTGCTGCCTTCTCTAAGTCTTAGGTTTCTGGCAGTTGTTAAACTCTGAGTTCCCTCATATTCCTCTGTTTTTCACTCTTCCAACACCTCTGTAACTATTTCCTTGTATTAAATTCCCTTTCTTTCTCATGCCTGGAATCTGAGTAACTACTTACACTTTCATTTTTGTCATTAAATACGCGACTTAAGATATTTCGAAAACAATTTTAACTATGATTCTTAGGTAAATAATTTGTTCAAGTAAGAAAGTAAAGTGAAAAGAATTAATTCTAATATATTGCTATGCAAAAAGCCAAGTATCTGTCCTGATGCACAAGGACATTAACTTGGCACAAAGCTGTCGACAAAATGTTAGTAGATGAAAATAAGTAGTGGTATTCAAACAGAATACTGTTTGGTTCAAAACAAAAACAGAGTATGTGCAGGTACAGATACTGGAGGAGGCGGGGAATGCTGCAACATGAGCTGGGTGGTTAATGCAGGATACAACCGGCTCTTAAGGTGCAATGGTTATAGATTGGTGCAATCTAAGAACATATACCTCCTTACTTCTTCTTTATTCCTAAAATAAAATGAGTCAAGGTAACGCATGTTCTTTAGGATAGAAATAGACCTCTAACATAAAATGTACTTTAATGTAAGTGAGACATGAGATGTGTGTTCGCTATTACTGGACTCATTTTACACACAATAAGTCTAAGAAAAGTTAATTTGCCCAGGGTAACACACTTTTAAAATCCTGATGCTGTACCACTGTCTGTGAAAAATATTTGATTATAACCAGTTACTCCTTTGGTCAGCCTCCTACTGAAAGCTCTTCTGAACCAAACCAAAACCCTGAAAGCATCAGTTAAATCAAGTAATATTAAAATTCCTGTTCCAATTGTTATTGGGCATCTTGTTCCAATTTAATATCAGCTACTGTCTTCAGCAAACTCCCTGAAAGCAGGTACAAAAGTTCTAGGCTGCAAGAGAGCACATGTAATAAACTCTTGTCTCTACTCATCTGGTTACAGGCAGTCCCCTGGGTTACGTTGGACTCAGTGTACATCGTTTTGTGGTTATGTCGCCATCTCCCACACATAGTTCAAGATTTTAAATGAATTTAAGCAGTTAAAATATAATTAGAAAAACAGAAGGAAAAAAAATCCAGTTCTAATGTAAATTGTAAAATTTTACCTGAATGAAAAGGAAACTGTTGCTTGGCTTCACCAGTGTGTGCATCCCAAATAATTGTTGTCTGAGATTAAATAGAAAAGAAAAAGATACTCTTAAGTAGTTGAAAGGAATTTATTATAGAGGCATACATTAGATTCCTCACTATATTAAAGCAATATGAAATGTCAGAGTGGAATTAATTATTCGTATTTACTTTTTGCAACAGTACAACAAGGTTATACTCCACATTCAGGGTTGGGGGAAGGGGATATGATTATTAAGTAGTTTAATTTTTCCTTGATGGTTTTTTTAAGTCAACTCACTTGAAATAACAATTATTGGTTTGTCTTCAATGTACCAGACATTATATTAGACTGCTTTAAATATTCCACTGCAATAGAGTATTTAATGTAAGATTTTCATAGCTCTTCAGCTATAAGGAGAAAAATTCTTGATTTACAAAGTAGTCAGCTAATTCTCAGTATTAAGATTTTTTAAAGCTCACATTTACATATAAAGGCAGCTTAAATTTTGACAATACAGTATTTAAAACAATGCCTTTCATAATAATTACATCAAAGTATGACATATATGGCTATTTTACCATTCCTTTCCATACTCTCCCACCACTGATTTTATACCTTTGGGGATGGAGCATTGCACAGTGCAGCAACTATTAACAGGGCTTTCCCCTAGCATTCCTGGCCTCCCTCACTTCTCTTCCCTGTTTTCTCTCTATTTCCCTTTTGTCAATGCACCCAGTTACCTACAAGCATGTATTCTCCTAGGTTCTGGGGAAAGGAGGTGACCTAAGGAGAAAGAAGGCTATATTTTCAATTTGTGAGTATTAACCAGTTTAAGTAGGTGAAAAAAGCTGGAAAGATCCTGCATTTCTTACATTTTCAATTAAATACCAGGAGTTCACCTAATAGACTGGCTGGCTCTAAGATTTCCTATGGAATCACTCCAGAGCCACACTCACTGATGAGATAAACTGGAACTTTTAGAAGGGAAGCAAAGATCATGGGAAGTGCCAAAACCGGTTTGGCTCAGTGGTAGAGCATCGGTCTGCGGACTGAAAGGTCCCAGGTTCGATTCTGGTCAAGGGCATGTACATTGGTTGCGGACACATCCCCGGCAGCTGGTCGATGTTTCTATCTCATCGACGTTTCTAGGTCTCTATCTCTCTCCCTTCCTCTCTGTAAAAAATCAATAAAATATATTAAAAAAAAAAAAAAAAAAAAAAAGATCATGGGAAGTGTGACATTCATTATAGCTCAAGTTCCAACAAAAACAAGTAGTGTAGTCACACAGATAAAGAATAAAAGGCATTTTATTTTGTAGGTTCAGAAGTGAGCTGACAGAAAATCTAAGAAAGTATTTCTATTACTATCATAAATTCATTCATGAATTTCCCAAATATAAATATTTTAATGCTTCTGTAATTAGCAGAGAAAATATTTCTTTATTACATTAATCTTATATATATGTGTATATAAAGGTTTAATGTTCTTTTACCTTGTCTACTCCAGCACTTAGGATGAAATTTCCTTTCTTATTCCATTTTAATGCAAATATAGGGCCTTTATGCTGCCCTAATGTGCTAGCAAGGTTACCTAGTATTAAAAAGAAAGAAATTAATTACTTCATCTTTATAATTTAAACCAACAAGTGAAAAGAAAAATGCTTCACTTACCATCTTTAGTCCATATTCTGGCAAACCCATCATATGAACCAGTTGCTAGAAGTGTACCTTCACTCTGTGGGAGAAACATACTTCTTTCAACTATGTAATCCAGAAAGGGCATTTAATTATTGTAAGAACATTTCATGTTTAAATCCTGGGTATAGCAGATCCTTGATATTCTCTGCTACAAAATCTGCCCAATTGGGAGAGCCTCCCAGGCTAGGAAGCACCCTTTATTGCTGGGAAGCTGGCGCTTTGGCAGCACCTTGCCAGTGTGCGAGCCTATGTCCAAATCTCACAAAACAGGACCACTCACTCCCCTGCATGCTGAGGTCTACTGCATCCTTACAGACGCACACGGCTGAAGAGGGGAGGCTGGTAGACTGGAAAGGACATCAGAATCATCATCTTTTAATGATTCAGTGTAAGTAAAAAGCAAAATATTCTAAAATATCTCATTATGATTAAAAGGTTTTATATGACCCTCTTTAAATCTCTGTCTAAACAAAGTATGTTGCATGCTACTAACAATATTGCTGTTTCAGATGATCAGATTCTTAAATGTCATTGAATGTTTCTTTCCTTTTTTAATTCTTTCCAAATATGAATCCTTACCAATAACAATGCAACACAAGAGTCTCAGCAGAGTATAATTGACTTGACAGTAAAAGAAGTTGAGTAGTTTCCTGGAACCACTTCATTAGGAGCATATTCCAGTTCCTCTAGTCTCATATGTCCTGACAAATGGCACTAGGGAAGGACAGTCTAACATTCTATGGAAATGCAAGTTACAGAGTACACGAAACAGACTGCTGCTAGGATGAGCAAGCCTTATTGGAGACACAGAATGAAATCCCGTCTTACACAGTACTTGATTGATGCTTTTTGGTCAGGGAACCAAGAACAGCATCTTCCTTTTCAGACCTCTCAGGCCACTTAGCTCTAAAGTTAAGTGACAGAAAATGCTAGGTCTGGGGGCTATAGAATCAGACCTGCCAGGATTTTAAAAACCCCTATGGTTCTGCCCCAGGAAGAAGCAGCCATGTTGAAGCCAACAGCAAAAGCTTATTTCCAGGCTTTGCACAATGGTAAGTTTCTTTTTTCTTTTTTGATATATTTTTATTGATTTTAGAGGAGAAAGGAGAAGGAGAGAAAGATAGAAGCATCACTGATGAGAGAGAAACCATTGACTGGTTGCCTCCTCATGCTTTCTACTGGAGATTGAGCCAACAATCCAGACATGTGACCTGACCGGGAATCGAACTATAACCTCCTTGTTCATACAAGTGTGCTCAACCACTGAGTCACACCAGCTGGGTGGGAAGTTTCTCTTAAACTAATGGTCCCAAGTATTTTAGTTCATGGACCACTAAAGTTGGAAAAAATACTTGAACCATCAAATATGTCTGACTCTTGCTTTAGTCATGAGAAAGAACCATCAGTCAAGGATAATGTTTTTGCCTTTTAATATATTTTTGAAAAGTCCATGATTTAAAACTAATTTGCATTTCAGAATCACCAAGCTCAACAAATCAATGTTGGTTTACCATCTTTTTCAGTGTAAACTGTAAAATTCATTAAATTAACATGGTCTCTGAGCCAAATAGCTGAAGGATATTATAAGGTTTTTGACCTAAGCTATAATAAGGTCCCATATTAAGAAGATATTAGTCATGACCCTACACCAACCAAATAATACTGCAATGTGATAAAACCTTCTTTCATTTTTACAACTGCTAACTTTGTAAGGAAAAGGTAAATACATTACTGAGAATTTTAGAAAGGAATGCTAAAACAGAACAAAACAAAACATCAGAAATAAGAGGGGGGGGAAACACCCTAGCTATGAGTTCTGAAAGAATCTTATGGAAACAAAACTTTAGCTGGAGTAATCATTTTTAAGAATAGACCTCGTTCCTTGAGATGACATTTGTAAGGTTCCTGGAAAGCCCCATGCAAAGCTGTTAAGCAGGAGCCAAAGGAGGAAGGATGTTCACTTGCTGAAGAAAGACTAGCCAATCCCTAAAATTCTTGGAAACACTGAAATAGTCTAAAAGGCTTTTTTTTTTTTGGGGGGGGGGTGGGGGGGCAGAGGGGAGTTGGAGAAAGAAAAGTTGGAGAAAGAAAACTGGATACAAAGTTAAAAGGCAACATGGAACAAAGGAAAATAAATAGAAACCTTATAAATGCGAATTTTTCACATATTAATCATAGGAATAGAAGAAAAAAAAACACACAAAAACAATGTTAACCATTTATTAGAAACTACAAGGGTGAAGCTTTATCAAAAATAAAGGTCAGAATAGTTAAGTTGCCCCTGAAAGATATTAAATCATATATTGAATCAAAGAATTATTAAGAGTACTACAGCTAAATAAAGCTTGAAAGTAATCTAGACTAATGGTCCCTAAATGGCAGTTAGTTGACTATGAAGTTTTCATCAGATCACAGCAAAATGAGAAAAACAAGAACACGTTTTTTTATTATATAGCTTTCTCTTAACTCCAGCACAGGACTTACTAGCTAAGGACTTAGTATGTGTCTGCTAGGGATTCTCATCTATTTCCTCATTTATGTAGTTACCATTACCACACTTTTCCTACACATGTGAGGAAAAGGAAGCAAGTGGTCAACCACCAACCTTAGGAAGATTCTGCTGTTAGATAAACAGAAGAGTTGGAAGCTGAACCTTGGTCTGACTGCTCAAGGGCCAGCCTGTGTTTTTAACATATTTGGGAATGAGGATTCCTAGTTTGTTGTTCTCATTAGTTAGTGAAATTTAAAAGTATCTGAAAAGGGGACAAGCCCTGCTATCAGTCTAAGGCTCAAAGAAGTGAATTAGTAATTACATCCACCATGGACAGTACGGTGATACTCACATTCCAATCTAGAGAAGTCACGTCCTTGTTGCTGGGGACATCTTGCCCTCCTTCTCGTATACAATGTCGAAGTACTAACTGTGTGGAGCCACTGGTGCTATTTTCACTAAGATTCCATATTCTTGCTGTGGAGTCTCCAGACCTATAAAGTATGTAACATATTTTAAATACTCTTAATATTCTCAAGTATCCCAGAATTAAACACACACACACACACACACACACACACACACACACACACACACAAAAAAAAAAAAAAAAAAAAAAAAACCACACACACACAAAAATAATTATATCCTAAATTACTAAGGTAAAAAAAACAGAATATCAGGAATTTCCATTTCCAGTATTTTTTCTCTGTCTCCATTTTGAGGTCCCCAAACAACTCCATTTTGAGTTTAATGAAGACTTCCAAGGTTACTTTTACGAAGGAATGATGATTTATAGGGGCAAAAATGAATACTAATAAGCAACAGAAACCTAAAAAACGTTAAACAATGTACTTATAAAATGTAATAGGTTCAGCAAGATCTATTTAAAAATCCATTTCAGTTTCACTTTGAGGAACATACCCGGATGCCAAGAGATCACTAACAGGGTTCCAGGCACAGATGAACACTTCAGATTCATGGCCCCGTAACACAACTGCCTTGTTAGGAGGGATTTCAACATCCCCATCTACCTCCATCATATCAGTATGATTATCTGCAGCACAGGAAAGAAGAGGAAAATTCCAGTGAGGTAATATTGCAACATGCTGGGGAAATCCCTCTTTTATAAAATACAATGTAACTTGAATACACAGTATTTATCACGTGGAGAATAAATTCTTATCTTGAGTCAAGTATGGCCAAGATAATATGTCTGAGTGTGTGTTTAGAGGTGGAGGTTAGAGGATGAGGGTAGAGAAGGACTGCAAAAGGTTAGACCCACAAACATGACTAAAGTTAATAAAAAGGTTTGAACATGTAATACATGCCAATACTATTCTGAGTTCCCACCAGTAGGGGTTGCTGATATCATTCTTATAACATGAGAGTTGCCTTTATAGCTCCATGTCAGAGCTTCACTGTATTTGTTAATGACTAGTATTACACATTTTATTTAGAAATCAAATGCAGATACAAAACTCATTTAACAATAAAAAATATTTTTTGAAACAAAATCTGTAAATGTAAACCCCCCTTTCTGAGCTTGGTTTGAAAATGTGAACTGTGTGGTAAGAGGGGACCAAGTTGGCATAAATGACAAGTATGATGTTATTTCAGCTTCAAGAGGTGACATCCCTAAGACATTTCTTTTGAAAAGGAATTTTTAAAAATTCTATCTCAGCTCACTTGCAATAGTATGTGCCCCATTCTCCTCCCCATTTGCTGTGTTTTCTCCATTTTTCGCAGATCCTTGTTGGTTCGTGGCAGCTGCTGCAGCTGCTGCAGCTGCTGCTTGTTGCTGTGCAAGCTTGTCTCTGTAAGCTTGTTGTCTTGTTTGTACTACATCAGGCATTACGGCATCTATCAGTGACAGAGATTCTATTGGTCGACCATCGAACAAGGTACCATCCTGGATTTGGAAAAGAAGAAAACCAAAGGTGCCATATTTAGAGTAATTTGTATTCATACAAGTCCACAGGAGAAATAAAAAGCTTCATTCCAAGATAAAATATTTTTAGATAATTTTCTGAATGTGTGTAAAAAGGAGTCAGAAGGAAACTGAAGAAACAACTCCAAATAGCTGTTTAATTTTTCCTTCTCCCTTGGTTCTTAGTTTATATGTTGCACATCTAAAGCTGAAATACTAAAAGGAATAATAAAAGTAGGCCCAGATAATAGAAAGGTTTATAAATTATATTCCAAACATTTGTTAGTCAAAAGCAATGATCAAAATAAAATCATTCACACAATAAGAGATTTGGTACCACAGTATAGAAAATACTTCTTTAAAACCAACAATTTTTAAATAGTTTTGTTAGACTTTAAAGTTTATTGTGATTTAATTAAAACAGAAAGACTCCATATAGTATGCCATACAACATTTCCTTTTACTAATTTTGAAGTGCAAGCAAACACAGTCAGGTTTAAAGATTTAAATTTAAAGATGTCAATAGCAGCTGGCATCTCTTAACCAGTGCTACTCAAAGTGTGATGCAAGGAGCACATCACCTGGTAACTTGTTAAAAATGTAGATTCAAACCTACAAAATCAAAATCTCTGAAAGCTCAGAAATTGATTCAAAAAGCTCCCTGGGGGAGTCTTATGTGTACTACCAGTTGAGAAGCATCTTAACTCACAGGCTGCTGCTCTTTAATTTTATGGACTTGCTATAATTTTCCAAAGCTCCTCTTAGGAGCTTTGGAAAATTATAGCAAGTCCATAAAATTGGATATTAGGGACTTCACAATGGATAAAAGTTCTCCAGTGAGCACAAGGAGACACACAAACACAGAGCAAGTCAGAAATAGAAACAGTGCAAATCAGCCAACACGATGTGTATGTGAAGCAGATGACCACACACTCCTGACAATCTGCAGGGTGTGAGTGGGGTTCCAGGCTATAAACACAGCACAACTTTCTAAATTGTCAAATGTAATGGAGTATTTGAGGAGTAGGTGAAAGTATCTTATATAATAAAGAGGTAATATGCAAACTGACCATCCCGTTCTCGCACAAGATGGCCAGCAGGGGAGGGTGGTTGTGAGTGATCAGGCCAGCAGGGGAGGGCAGTTGGGGGCAATCACGCTGGCAGGGGAGGGCAGTTGGGGGCGATTGGGCCAGCAGGGAAGCAGTTAGGCATCTATCAGAGTGGAATGATTAGAGGGTGATCAGGCTGGCAGGCAAGCAATTGGTTGGACCCAGCAGTCCCAGATTGTGAAAGTGATGTCCGACTCCCGGTTTAGGCCCGATCCTTGTGGGACTAAATTGGCAGTCGGACATTCCCTGAGGGGTCCCAGATTGGAGAGAGTTCAGGCTGGGCTGAGGGACACCTCCCCCCTCTAGTTTTAATTTGTAACTAATTTAAAAATAAATATTAAAACCAACACAGACACATTGTAGAGTACTATATTAAATGTACACAAAGTTTTTCAGATAAAATGAGACTTCATCTGTGGCTACTGCTAGAAATTGTTTATCATCCTCTGTTAAGGATATTTTTGGAGGGAAAGTGCTAAAAGACAACATGTTTAATTTAGTATTAGCAAATTTATCAATGAGAGATGAGGAAAACAAAGACAATAAAATCAATTTTAGTAAATTACATAACTACAGTAATAAAACTGATATGGAAACCATGGATGCTTCAGTTTTTAAAATATTTGTTAAAATATTTGTTCACATATTTTTGTGAAAGGAAAGGGGAACATATTAATCTCTGAAATGAAAATAAGGCAAAAGCTCCACATATCATAAATCCTGTTCACATATGAAAATTTTCAATTGGACCAGGGTTTGCAACATTTTCTGTAAAAGACCAAATCGTAAATAGTTTAGGTTTTGCAGACCTGTCACAACTACTCAATTCTGCCATAGTAGCACAAAATTAGCCAGATAATATAGCAAGTCCATAAAATTGGATATTAGGGACTTCACAATGGATAAAAGTTCTCCAAATGAGCATGAATGTGTTCCAATAAAACTTTACAAAAACAAGCATCAGGCAGGATATGGTTTATGGGACAATGCTGGCTGATACCCGAGTTAAACTACCGACATATGGACCTTAAATAGGCACTAGTATCAAGAATTAGCTTTAATTATGAACTGCTTTCCAACATCAAGTATAATCAAATAATCTGAAATTTTCTGATTTTTAAAGAAAATTATTTCTTATTGTTTACTCATAAAACCATTTATAGTGAAATAAGCTACAGATAGTGGTCCTCATCTTTGGGAGACATGCCTTGCCTGTGCATCCTGACCCTTACGTTAGGAACAACACCCTTCTACGTTAACCCAGAGAAGCTGAAGTCAGGTAATGAATGAGCAAACAAGCTATCATATTCAAGAGTAAGAATATTTGAAATAAATCTTCCTTACCTCATTAATACTAACTTCTGCCTCTACATACTGTAGACCTTTCTGGATTATAGAAATCAATGCAGCAGGTGGGACAAGGGCACCATTTATGTTTGATTGACTGATATGGCTTTCTATACCAAAGGTAAAGGCCGAATGAGAAAATCCTAAAAGCAAAAGAAAAGGTGTAAGAAGTTATTCTCCTAGTGGCAGCACGCTGCAAGACACAAACAAAAGATCTCTATAATCTTTCAAAGTCACATCCCACATCTTTAGAATCCCAGACTGTTGGCTAAGTTCAACTGTATGTTTTTAAACAACAGAAATATCAAAATTCAAACATATTAACCTTCATTATTTTTCTTTTCACTTTAATTATGTAATGTACTATTATTTAAAGTTTCTAGTAAATGTAAATTTTACCTGGGGCACAAGTTTCCTCTACAAATAGCATCAAAATTTAAAGTTTGAAGAAAGCATTTGGAAGCCGTGTGACTCAACTGTTTCACTCAAGATAATTTAGGCCAAGATAAATTGATATTTAATAAATTTTTGTAGTATATTTAAATCTCTACATACAAACTGTCAAACACCTTATAAATTCAATCTTTTGCAGGTTTTTAGAATCTACTTAGGAATTAAAAAGCAAACTAAAAGTAATATAAGAAAGTTGAAATGTAATAATGAAAAATAGCTTCATGCTTAACACCCAGTGTATGAATTAAATACTAAAAAAATTACTAATTCTTTACCACTTAGCAATAACCCACCTAAATGAAAGCTTTAGAAAATGAGTTAGCAAGTGAAAATCCAAAATCTATCTCCATTAGCAGTCCTTTAATTTTTATTTGTAATACTTAAAACCAAAACATTCACATAACAAAATCTCTTTATGTTATTAGCCTTGCTATTTAATGCAAGCCAAGTTCAAATGAAAAGTAAAATTCTAGTAAATTGATAATCCAAGGGTGATTAAGACAATATCCATCAGAGCTTATCACTAAGTAGCAATTGTCACTAATGTATTTAAACAATTAAATTATGCATGTAATACTGAATGTTAAGAAACCTTCACACTAAATAAAGTAAATGAATATAGGCTTATTGGGATCTTGGTTAAACGGATTTAACCTTATATAACTGCTGTCTAGCCCAGGTTTCTAATACTTAGTCCGTGTCTTTTATTCTTTGCATTTTATGTTTCTACTCCTAGGCTCCATGTGGCACTTATGAACAGTCTATAGTAAAGTACTGTGAGCTCATAAAGAGTATGTGCCTAGGAAATATTTCAATTGTTCAATAGACAAAGTTGATTAGATACCTAAGTTGATTTTCCTCATGGCTCCTTCCCTCTTTAGAACATCTAACCTTTCCATTCCTGAAACTAACCATAGTGAGAAATGAAAAGATGCTACCTTTTAAGACTTTCATTTAACCTCGTGATTTTTCCAACAAGCAACTGTTATTAAACATTTAGTTTTCAGCTTAATCTAAGCTCACAGAGATGGCTAGAAACTCACTCACCAATGGGAAAAACTCACAACTACTTGAATATGAGTGGAATCCAGAGAATGAAGACTAGGAAGGATGAGGAGAAAGGAAGAGATGTTTGCCTGTGAAATCAATAAGCAGTGAGGTAGGAGATTTTGTTTTTCATTATATACTCCTCCCTAAATAAGTTCTGCAGTAAGTCATGAATAGGAAAAAAAGCCAAGTGGCTTAGAAATTTAAGACATTAAAATTTAAAAAGACTTCAAGATAAATAGTATTTATGAAGAGTCTTCACCAGGTGCCATGCATATATAATTGTATTATTTTATTATCTAAATTAGCAAATGGGAAAACAGCTGTTAAGAGAGTAAGGATCCAATAACTATTACATTCTATTGTTCCTACCAAACAGAATATGGTCAAAAATAAAGCGAAGGCAGAGTGAGTTTCTGGGTCACTAACAGTACACCAAAAAGTCACGTCAGTATTCTGTTTCGGCTTAAAGTGTTACAAAATGGTGTTAGTTGTGCATGAAATATTAAGACACCTTATTAGCAAGGTTTTAAAAGTATTTTGATTTCATAAGCCTTATAAATTGTAGCAAACTCCATGATTTTGGCACTAATTCATAAGTACAATTTTTAAAAATAAAAATCATTACATTTAAACAATATTAATTAAATGACATAGTCCAAGCTTATGTCCAAGAATATCCTAAGAGTTGCAAGTGGATATTCTAGAGATGTCAATTTTGGGCTGGAATGTTGCATATATCCTCAATTTGTTCTGTCAGCCAAGGTCAGAAGCTATCACCAGTGCTTACATCTATCTCCAGTTATTGCACATGTGCTTAGAATGTTCCAAACAGCCAGAAAACAACCCTGAAGTGGTCATTAGCATTGTTTTGTCACTTCTCACTAATGTTTACTCTAAAGAAGGTTCACAAGTAAACCTCTGTGTATATAAATGCTGGACTTAACTATCATTTTCTTTTTATTTGTAGCCATAGCATGACAGGACAGCTTAAAATCTATGTCAAAATTTTCTTCTTCCCCTTCTTAAATCTTTTTTCCATAGAAACTTCTGACTTTACACCCTCTCACTCCCTTCTGTTTCAGCATTCACCTAATCCTACCAATCAATCCTACCTCCCTGGTCTCAGTCATCAGTTTTCCTTCTCTGCCAAAACCTGGAGTTTAGTTCCATAATCCCTTGCCTGCACTATTCCTGTCCTAAATTCCTTTCCTCTCCTCCCCAATTCGTATATCTGCCACATCACAGTTAGAATACTGCTTGGAAAACAAAAACTGATCCTATCACTCTTTACTTGGGTACTTTCAATAATTACTTTGACCTTCATAATAAAGGCCAAACTCCTAAGTATGTCACAGTTACGTTTGTAATCTAACTCTACTTATTTTTTCAGATTCATCTCCCCAATTCCACACCCCTCCACTTCTTCCCACTGCACATTTAAGTGATTAACATTACTTCTAACACCTCAAATATGCTGTCTTACTTCATGCCTTTGGGCCTTATGTATTCCTATGTTCTTTTCTCCTAAATGGAGGTGATGTCCTTCCTTTCACTGCCCCTAGGTTGACCATTCTCTTCTGGGCTAATCCTCTCATATGTATAGCATTTACCACACTATATCCATCTATGGTTCTATGTAAGTGTGTGCTGGGCTGCCTGAAGGAAGGATTTATGTCTACTAATCTTTCAGTTCTGGAAGAAGACATTACCTAATTTATCCAGTGCTCAATAAATATTTGTTAAATCAGAATGCAATCAATAGAATAAAAGCCTAAGCGACCATTACAGTGGACCAGAATGACTGGTTGTATGATGTGCACTGACCACCAGGGAGCAGACACTAAATGCAGGAGCTTCCCCCTGGTGGTCAGTGCGCTCCCACAGGGGGAACGCTGCTCAGCCAGAAGCCAGGCTCGTGCAGTGGCGGTGGTGGGAGCTTCTTCCACTCTCCGCAGCACCACTAAGGAGCAGCGAGCAGTAAGAAGTGCGAGTAAGGAGCAAGGGTTCCTGGACTGCGAGAGGCTGCAGGCTGGGCTGCAGAACTGCCCACAACCCCCAAGTCCACAATTTCATGCAGGGGCTTCCAGTTTTACTATAATGTATCTTGACACATCAGAAAAATCTATGAATCCAGAAAAAACATATGACTTAAATCTTCCTGGAAAAACAAAACAAAAATAGAACTTGAATCAGGGTTATGCTAGAAAATATTTCCATTTATCTGTAAATGTATATGTAGGAAATATTTTTTCAGAGAGAGCTTTTGACTCACAAAGTAGAAAGCAAAAGGGAACAACCTAAATCTGTGCAATACTGAAGTCTGGCCTGACAGCCTAAATAGCATCTCTACTTTTCAGGGGTAAGAGACTACCTCTGTAATCAAACACATTCACTGGGCTTGAGAGGTAGAAAGGAGATTCCAGAGTAGAATGACAGTAATTCGGTGACAAAGACAAGCAGTGACAGGGGTGGGTGTGGTTATTCATGAGACCACACACCATTCCCATGTGAGAAACGAGATCACAAAACCACCATTTTCTGAATATTGTTTGTTTCAGGGAGTACCCTCTCTTGGGATGACAGAAATTGTGTTCTCAAAGGCGGAGTTACTCCTCAGGAGTTGGTCACTCTACAGAGAAGACAAGAACAAGAAAATGGGCCCTGATCCTCATGGTTATGATACTGGATGTCTAAACCAGAGGGGATCTAGAGAGCAAAGCTTAACTATTATACAATAAATACAGTGCCATCTAGAAGGAAAATCTGATTTTTACAAGGTTCTATATTTAAGCCTCAGATCAGAAAACCCTAAAAAAATGCTATCCCCTGCTCTCATCCTCACACACAACCTTGACCCCAAATCCATTTCCACCTCTGTCTCCACAGACCGATTTTTACTCTAAAAGTTCCACAATCATTAGTCATGGGGATGTAAAAAGCACAGGGAAATAGTAAAAAAATATTGTAATAACTACGTATAGTGCTAGGTGGGTACCAGACTTATTGGGGGATCATTTCAAAAGTCATATAAATAAATATCTAATCACTATGCTGTACACCTAAAACTAATATAACATTGCATATCAACTGTAATTGAAAAGTAAACAAATTAAGCTTAGAATTACAATATGATCCATCAATTCCTCTCAAGGGTATATTGTCCAAGAAAAATAAAAACATGCTTGAACAACAAAAGAGTTCCACAATCAAATGCTTCAAGATTTTAGAAAAGGTCAAAGAAAATAGGGGGAAACATCTTATGGGGGATATTTGATGTTGAAGAGCTAGACCAAACACTTACAAAAAACAAAATAGGGGAAAATGTAAGAAAAAATATTATAATACAAAACCCTATGCAACTGTTAATATATTTATATTTCCTTTTCTTCTTTACATATTGTTTCCCCCCCCCAAAAAAAATTATAATATACTGGCTGTATAATTTTGTGCCCTAATTTTTCTCTTAAATATACATACAACTATAAGCATTTCATATAAATCATATTTTCTAAAATAAATTTATTATCATACTAGAGGCCCAGTGCATGAAATTCAAGGGTGGGGGGTTGCCCCTCAGCCCAGCCTGCACCCTCTCCAATCTGGGACCCCTCGAGGGATGTTCGGTGGGATCGAGTCTAAA